GAGCTGCTGCAGGCCTACGGCGAGGACTACGTGGAGGAGATCAACCGCCAGTTCATCCAGTTCATGAAGGTGGCGGTGGAGGACCTCAGCGCGGTGGTGAACAGCATCACAGACGGGCTCCTGGCTGCCAACCCAGCCGTGCGCTACTACCCAGGGCAGGGCCTTGGGCTTATGTATTTCATACACCGCTACCTGCCCTATTTTGTCCGAGACTTGTTCTTGAAAGGATTCTTCATCAAACCGAAGCTGCCCCGAGCACTGCGGCAAGAGCACCACAACATGAAGGCAGCCTGACCTCAGCCCGTGTGTGGTCTCAGGGCAGGAGCGAGCCTTCTCCCGGGATTTCCAGGCACACAAGCCCCCGAGCGGGTGCACAGCCGCCAGCATCATCCTCCTGCGCCGCGAGGGAACGATCAGCACTAGACGTTAAAAACCAAATTGCTTTCCAAAATCAGGCAGATCTATTTTCTATAGTGCAAGAATCAACATTTTCTAGAGACTTTGTATTTTTTGTAACCGTGCATCCTCCAAGGGGGCCACCCCCAGCTGAGTCAGCAGCTCTGCACCACGGCCTGGGATGTACCTCGGGCCTTTCTCAGTTACCCAACATCTTCCTCTGCTCTCAGAGCTGCGTTTGTCTCAGTCACCTCTTGGCTGGGTCAGGCCTGGGTACCCATGGCCACTGCTGTGCCAGCCCTTGCCTCCCTGCCGCTCATTACACACTCCATGTGCTCCCAGCGAGCACAGGGGCCAAAGCCAGGCTGCCAGTGCTGCAGAGCTCTTCACAAGGTGAACTACGTGATTGTCACTTTTTAAATAAACCTGTTCTTGATACGCCACCAAGCTCCAGCAGTCTTCTTCCGCGGTGCAACGCTGCAATGCTTGGGCAGGGCTGCCCTGCCTGCAGGCAGAGCTGAGCTGGGTCACAGCCGGCACCACACCAAGCACCGTGGCAGGAGCATTGCCTGGGGCAGCAGGTACCACAGGTAGCCCCAGCAAAGAGGTCAGCCTGCCAGGAAGAGCTTGCACCCACTCCCCACCCCTACCCCAAAGGCATCCTTTTGCTTTGCTCCATCTCCACAGCCCAGCTGGGGTGAGGATGGAAGGGGTGACAGTGCCACACATGGACAGCCCCATGCAGGAAGCCCACACGCACGGGGACAAGCCACGCAGCGCCCTAACAGCACGGCTCACTCCCCTAAGGCTGCACAAGCAGAGCAGGCTGCACCTCCCAGCCACCCATCAGCTCAGCACCCAGCTGCACCCACAGGCCAGGCATGGCCTGCGGCTTGGGCTGGAGCGAGTGCCCAAGGCCCCAAGGGGTAGTACGACCACCCTGGCTGGGGGAGAAACAAGCGTCCCAAGTCACACAGGAGCCACACCAGGCTCCACTACCAGACATATCAAATCCCCTGGGTAAGAGGCCCTGTGGCTGATGGAGGCTCCTCTTGGGCATGCGGGAGCAGGTGCCCAAGTAAGCAGAGAGAGCATAGTGCAGTAGGCAGGTATTTATTGGTGTAAAGAGGAGGGGATCACGGGATAACAAACACTGCAGAGGTGACCACAGCACAAGCTGGGACAGAGCCACTCTCCATCACTCCCTCCCAGCAGCAGCACCGAACACGTGTTTCCCACCAGCAAGGCTTCTCTGCTGCCATAGGGCATCTCCCAGACCTTGAGAGCAAGCAGGAGCTAGCTGGGACACAGAGGAGTAAGGAGCAGGGCTACCATGCCATGGGACATCCCTGCCAACAGCTGCCCTCCACACTCAGCAGACCCACCGGCTGCTCTGCCCAAGGGCCAGCTGGGCCCCTTCAGCTCCACAGTACAGGGAGGGGGCTGCGCCAGCCTGGGTGTCGGCCCTGGGGTGGTGCAGGGGTCCAGCACCACCCCCAGAGGGAAAAGGAGCCCAAATTCTTGCACGGTTGTGACAGTAAACTCCAAACCAGGGGTCTACAGGGGAGGAAGGAGCTCAGGCAGCTGTCAGCTGCAGGGCAGGAGGGAGACTGATGAGAGCTGTGCCCTCACGTTCCCACAGGCTCCATCCCAGTCCCAGCCAGGGCTGCTCAGTCTCTCCCCAGCCAGGGTTAGCTACAAGGGGATGCAGGGATCACACAGCAGCATGGGCTACAGCTACGAATCACACTCAAAGTAAATCTCACAGGAACAACACCAACTAGGAGGCGTGCAGAGCACTGACAGAGAGGACCCCAGCCAGGGCAGACCTGATGCGTTCCTCCACGGCGGTGGGAATCCCTTGGAGGCAGCAACCCCCCAGCTCAAGCGCATACAGTGGGTTAGTACAGTAACACGGGAACTATTAGATACACAACAGGAGGTGTACCCTCCTGCTACACAGGGCCAAGCCTGTGCCACTGGTCCCTCTGGACCCCTCACGGCACACACAACTCAAACTTCAGCTTGTGAATAATTTAACTAGCAACTGTACAGTGTCCTCATCTGAGCCAGTTCCACAGATGGGACATCCCTGGAGCCTGGGCAAGGGATAACTCAGGGAGTTAGACTGGGGTCTCTCTGGACTCCAGGGGCAGGATGGTTGGACAGGAGCAGAGCAGGGTTAGAAGATGGGAATGTAGTTGTCAATCTTGGTCCTGTGCCGTTGGGCAATGCACTCTGCGATCCACACGATGTTGCGGCACTCCTGCTCCTTCAGCTTGACGAAGGCGTAGAAGACTCCAAAGTGGAACTGGTTGAGGAAGGCCAACTTGTTCAGCTTCACCTGGGGAAAGCCCAGAGGAGGAGGTGTCACTTATCCACCTCAGATGGGAGGAGCTGGTCAAGGCAAGCGTGGAGAAGCTTGGGAGGTCCCACAACTTGCCCAGCAGGCTGGAGGGCTCAGCACAGATATCCTGCTCTGCATCTCTCTAGGTCCCCGGGGCAGCTCTAACCTACAGCACATGGCTCAGGACAGACTCTGACATTTGAAGGGGTAAATATTTATACCCTCAGGTACTGTGAAAATGCTCCTTCCCCATGTAATTACCTTCCAGTTTTGCTATCAATGGATGAAATACCCACCAGCAGCCCCAAACTTGCCTCTCATGCTGCTCTAATCTGTCTGGGTGAGAACATGGACTGAGCACCACGCTGGACCCCCATTCCCTCCCATCCTTTTCCTTCCCCCAAACTGTTCATCCACAGCACTGCTGGCAGGGCAGCAGACAAACCTGCTGCTACCCTGAGCTTTGCAAATGCACATGCCAAGAAGCATCTCTGGGCTCACTCACCTCATGCTCAAAGAACCTGTCTTCAAGGGTCTTGTCTCCAGGGTTGCTGCCAGCCCCTTCAAACAGCAGCTTGTACTCCTGCAGGAAGGCATTACAAGAGGATAAACCTCATGCCCAAAGTCCTCCAAGCTCAGCAGGGTTTGGAGGCCCCATATATCAACCAGCCACCATATCAGGTCAGCAGAGGACATAGAGAAGCCAAGAGTCTGTCCTGTGCACACATGAACATTGACAACAGGATGCTGCCAAGGCTGCACCGCATGCACGCCGGCTGAAGGCAACCCCCAAAAAGGCAGAGAAAGCCTTTATTACATTTGTGAGCTTGGGATCCTACCCCTTCTCTGAAATGTGGGGTTCTCAAAGCTGTATCATTGCTTTGAGCCTGCAGGGAGGATGCACCAGGTACAGAGCCCTCCATGTACAGACTGGAGCATTTGGGCCAGGCCCATGGGCCCACAAACACTGCCATATGCCCTAGCTGCTTCAGTAAGGGGACACTGCGCTCTCCGACTCCAAACAGGCCCCCAGCCCTGCACAAGAGAAGCTTAAGGAACCCAGACACATCCAAACATGTCCTCCCAGGCCAACATCTCCCCTGCTACTGAACCAGAGGTCAGAGTGACCCACTAGGGCTGGAGATGTGGCACATCACTTCTCACTGAAGACATGTTTCCATTACCAACCAGCCAAAGAGGGACTGTTACAGCTGCCACACCGATATCTCAAGGGTTTGGTGGTGAGGGCAGTCCCCAGACCCCAGAACTGGGCATGCAGGGCACACCTGGTCTCCGTATCGCCACTGCAGTGACAGCCATGACTAACAAGCCAACGGGATCCCAGGCCAACCAACACTATCTTGGCCAAGCAGAACACAGGACCAACAGGAGCAGCAGAAGACAGGCACCTCTCACCCCAGGGACAATCCACAAGTTCCCCCAGATCCCTGAGAAGCTCTGATCCAGAGCTGGTCCTCACACCAGTCCCCACAGCCCTCACCCCAAAGCACTCACAGGGTAGTAGTCAGCAACATTTTTGACTTGTTCGTAGTCATCTGCTCTGGCCAGCTGAGCCAGGCCCTCAGGGTACAGCTTGCCACAGTGTGGGAACAGCTTTGCTCGGTCCTCCTTGGACAGCTCAGTACCAAACGAGTTAATGGTGATAATGAAGGCCCTCCGGTCAGCTTCAAACTGTGAGAGAAGAACAGCTCACCTTGGGATGCAGCATCTTTGCCAGCAGGTACCAACGCTGCTCTGAACAGAGCCACAGAGGGCAGCATGAGGAAGCTGCCTGGGATGCACACAGCTACCCAGTGCTCAGCCAGGGCAGGCTCCATGTGCAGGCTCCCAGTATGCCCAGCACCTGATGCCTGGGGAGCACTCAGGTGAGGAAATCGCCCATCCCAGGCACAAGCCAAATCACCGAGCAGAACCCTACCTAGGTCAAGGAGCCTCTCTCACCTACTGCCCCTAAGCCCTGCAGCCCACAGCTAGCCTTGGCACAGAGGCAGGCTGTGTTGTCGTTCTCCTGCTCATTATCCACAGGAGAGGATGAAGATGTTGCCACGAAGGCAATGGATGTGTCAGCACCTGGCAAGATCAGGAACCAAACCTGTCCAAAGTCATGTGCAGGCAGTGTTTTCCTAGGTCTCCCAGGGAGTAGGCAGAGTGTGCATGGGGATGCTGAAGAATATCTTGAGCATCCTTAATGCTGGCAGGCAAACTGGGCCTGAGCACAGAGCAACAAATATCACTGCAATACCATCCAGCTACGGGGGGTTTCCAGACCTACCTCCAGGATTGGGCACATGGCATCTGCTGTGGTACCTCCAAGCACCTTGCAGAACTTGTAGAAGGACTCCAGGTAAGCCTGGAAGAGAGAAGGCAAATGAGCACTCTTCTATACAGTTTCATCTACTACCCCACAGGGCCATTCAGCGGAAGACAGACCGCAAGCAGCAATTCTTCCAGACGCTTTGTAACACAGCACAGGCAGTCTCACCCCACGTGAACTTGAATGCCAAGCCCACACAAGGAACAGTGCTTCCCCGGGAGCTGGAGACACGAAGGGCTGGGTTTGTTCAAGGGACTGCAGGAGCTTACTGCAGGCAAGATCCCCAGGCAGAAAGGTTAAAGCCTATTTTGCTCCTTTGAGTCGTCCAATTCCAAAGCATTCACTGAAGTCTCACATGGTTTCCTGACCCCGCTCTGGCCTCCACAAACATGCCAAGCCACACAACTATAGCTGCAAGACCTATGCTCAGAAAGTACCGCTGCGTAAGCGGAGTCAAGAGATGAGGCAAGACATCTGTGAAGGAAACTAGCCATTCTCTGTAATTCTCACACTGCAGCCGCTTGGTCTCCATCCCAACTAGAGCACTGCAGAAAACATACAAGGCTAGGCACAGCTACGCTGCCTCCAGGAAACGTAATCCTTTGTGGAGATGTACCATAATCCAGCTGGAAGATGACTGTATCTCCCAGAGGGAGCCTATGAAGGCTGTGCATGGCTAAAAGTGCTGTTCAGCAAAAACTTTCTCAGAAGAAGTCATCACGTGATAAAATATCTCCCTGGACAGAGAGCTGCAACCAGAATCACTTAAAAGGGACAGAATAAAATGATGCTGAGACATCACAAGTCTCTGATTTGTCACAACAACTCCAGGACTGAAGATGGACAAAGAATGCACGTGTCGGACACCTCCAGCACTAGGAAAGCCCCTGGATCATGGTGTTCCGTAAATATTTGTTACCACACAGCGCAGGAGGACACTGCTGGGTGAGCACGACACATCAAAGAAACATCGTCTCCAGCACTTGCCACTCCTCAAGTGCAGGAGAGCACACAGCATCAGCTTGCAGAGTTACTACAGGAACAAGGACACGGATAACAGAATTTGCTTGAGGCTGACAGAAGAGGGAACCTATCAGTCACTATCTCTGCCCTTCTCAGAGTTCGTGCACAAACCTAAGGCTTTAGAAGCAAAACCAGGTGAACTCAGATAACCAGCAACTGAATCAGGATCCAGTACCACAGACACAACGGAAACACAGATGTAAACCACCCCTCCGCAGACGACAGCAATTCACAGAAAGTCTCCTGTGTCCCGAAACCCTTACCCCAGAAATGGTGGTGTCTTTGCATTTAATAATCCTTAATGGACTTTCACGAACCCACACATTTACCCTCTGCCTCCTGCTAGCCTCATTTCTGTGTCACACCCAGCCTAACGAGAGACCTGTGGCCTGTCCATCCACGCTGACTTTTCCAACACTGTCAGCCGTTACCACCACAGCTTGGATTCACTCCTCCTCCAGGTGAGGAATCCTAGCCCTTTCTGAAGTTTCCCCATACAAAAGTCATTGCACCCAAACCTTGAAACATGTCTTCCTTAGCAGCTTCTTCTGTTCTGCTGTTCATATTCAGAGATGAGAGAGGAGAGGAATGAGACTCTGTTCAGGACGAACACACTACAGATGTACGCAGTAGCACAGTGATATTTGTGCAGTTTTATTCCTTCCCACTGTTAGGAACAGATTACCTTGCAGAGAGACACTTGCTTAGGTCAATCATAACCCAAGATTTCATTTAGTAGTAGAAAGGAACAAGGAGACCTCCACTGTACAGCAGAGTTAGGACTACTTCCTTGCCTCTCCCATACATCACTCTACATTTATCCACATTGATTTGCCTGCTATATTTTATTGTCCAGCCACAAAGCTCCTTCAGCTGGTTCCTATACAAAGGTTGCCAGCAAAGGCCAACAGTCAGCCAGCTTCACTTCAACACATCCACTGAACATGTGGGGAAAAAGGGAGTAAGCATTGAAGCTAACAACGCCAGCATGTCTCTGTTGCAGGACTCCACTGCTGACCACCCTCTGCACTAAGAGCTGACGATTTACTTCTGACCTCTGCTCCCCACCTTAACCACATTTCCACCTGAGAACCTTCTCACTTGTCATTGCTAACAAGAAACATTTGTAATCGCTTTCCTCCTACGAATCCTGCTCAAACCTTCTGTCTACATGCTTGCAGATTCCTTCAAAAAAAAAAAAAAAAAAACCAAACTCCAGTAGTCCTCAGAGGTAGCGCTTCCCCTTCCCATACCAACTTCTCCCGGACACAGGCATCCATCCCAGGCACCCGCCTACTGAGTTCCTCAGAGCAGCTCTGTGCAGATTTCAGACCAGATTTTATTTCCCTCACTTGACTGTGAAGACCATTTGCATTGTATTATGCATTTTCCAGTCCCTGGGGAGAGGGGTGGCTTCAAGCAAGAGGCCGTAAGCAGCAGTTACCTTTTCCACCCTTGCATCCCTGTGATTCGTTACTGATGGAGCCCCGATGTCCCTTGGGAGCTGCTCTTTAGCAAGAAATAGTTACAGCATATGCCAACAGATACTGGGCACCTACGCTTCAATTTGGGGGTAGGAAGAGCAGAATGCAAAGCAGTATCAGGCCTCAAAAAGGAGAAGGGAAAGGACATGGCAGCTGGGACCCAAGGAGACACACGCCTCCCACCCCCCAGCCTGTTTGCTCTGCGCTCACTGTGTTCCCTCATCTCAACACAGAGGCTGCGCCCTGCAAGGGTGCGGGTATTTATGCATATAGGCATACCTCCCCCCATTACAGCAAAAGCCCAGTACATGCCAGAGGCCACACGCAGCTGGGCATGACTGCTGACATGCAGCTCCTTCTCCTCTCCCTTTCCCTTCTTCCCTTCATGCTTGACCTGTTCTCTGCCTCTCCAAACAGGCCACGGCTTCCTTGGGAAGCAGAGGTCACACTGACAGCAGGCTGGCTGTGACCAGCCAAAACAAGGTTGGCAGATACAATCTGCATCCCACCCTTAATCCAGGGAGTTGAGATGGAGCGATAGCCACAGCCTGCACATAAACACATGCTTTGCTATTGCTGGCTAAAACCAGACAGGGCCTGCAGAGCAGTCGACAGCTCCTTGTGCAGGCTCAGGACAAGGAGATCTTTAGCCCCTCCACACCCCTGTGCCAATACTCTCCCCAGCCTGCAGGAGCAGGACTCCTCCACCGCAGCTGCACCCTTTACACTGCTCTACCAAGAGCATCTAACCCCAACCAGCCACTGAAGGCTGGAGCAGACTGTTGGAGGCTCTTCTAAAAGAGCTCAAGACAGAGAGTCAAGTCCATGGGAGGTCCGTCCTTCAACCAAGTTTAAGATCTAGCCACTTCAGCCCTTTGAATGCAGTTAACTCCACACCTTTTCCTGCCTGCCTGGGGCCTGAGGACACTCCTTCAAAGGCATAACCTCTGCAAAATCTCTTGCACAGACCCTTAACAGCTTGAAAAAAAAAAACAACCCAGCTCCAAAACCCCCCACTCTGCATAGCTCTGGTGCCCTGACTGCAGAGCAGGGTGATCAGATGTCAGGCCCCTCCAAGACAACTATCTTTACTGCAACTAGTTCTTGGTCATCTTTACTCCACCACCACTCCAGGGAAGAAAGAGAGAAAGCAAAATTATTTTTAATCCTACTCCAAGAGGAAAATATCCTTTCATCTTTGAAGAAAGCCAGCCTAGGTTGGAGCTCCTGACCCAAGACAGAGCTGTAGTCACACTAGGAATAAACAGGGAAGTTAACATCTTTTTCCCTTCCCAGAGACTCATTTACCTTATACAGCGTGTTTCGAATTATTTCAATGTTCATTTCATCCAGGTCCTGTTCAGATATGCAGTCTTGAAAGAAAGCAGCTGAAACAGAGCCACAGACAGAGTTAGCATTGCCATAACCAAACCCAGGCCTAGCACTTTCCAGTGTCCTCAACAGTACCAGGCAGAAGCACACCCTATGTTGAGTTTGTCGCTCCTAGGCCTGGCCCTTATCTTCAGCAGCCACCAAATTGCCATGACTCAAAACCTCAGGCTCCACCACGGTTCCCCAGGCCACAATCATTTTTGGGGCTCTCACATGAAAAATCTTTCTTCACCCCTTAGTCCTATGGTCTGGTTAACAACCTATTCTCAGCTCTAGCCCCCAGCATCAGTGCCAGAGCAGCCCATATTTAAAAATAAGCACAACCCAAACTGTTCCCAGATGCAGGCACTCAGAGGTGACAAGACAGCTTCTGAACTGCCTGCTACAGCATGGCAGCAGTGCTTAACCATCTGTGGGACAGCAGCTAGCAAGTCCTGAAGAAGCTGGTGCTTCTCCCTCTTTCTCCAATATTTCGGCTGCATTAAGGAGGCAAGAGGGATGCCACAGCTCCTACAGCCCAAGACTCCATGGTTGGAGTCCGGAGCAGTTTTCCCTGGTCAGGTCCATCAACCTCATTTTTCCACCTCTTTCCAGGACTTTTATTTCTCTAGCTGGAGGTAAGCAACGCCAGACAGGATGAACTAGCGGTTTTTTGTAGGATGCTCAGCCCTACGCACTTTGCCAGAGTATCTCTGGGAGGGAGTTTGAGAATTCGTTGCCTCCTGAAGAACACAGATTTCAGACCTAACACAGGGTACTGCAAGCTGCAGATAATGATAAGCTTTGTACATCTGGTGTAACATAAGGCCGTTGTACTACTCGCTTTGTTAGCAAGAGCACAATAAAACCCATTGACAGGACTTTTATGACTTCCTCAACTCTCACTCAGCAACCAACTTTGCTGAATTTGCTACATAAAGAAATCTGATCTTCCTCAGCTTACACAGTCCAGCTGCGGGTAAAGGACGCTGCACTCACGCTGAGAGCTGACCAGTGCTTTGCTTTGTGCGACAAACCGGGTACGATGCAGGCTCGCACCTTTGGCACACACCACTTTTATAGCACAAGCTCCCTGGCATGGACAGCAGCTGCACTGTGCGTCTAAAGAGTTCCAAACAGGGGTTAACCCCCACCCCGAGGTTTCTTTGCAACAGCATCAGAGACCAATGCCACGTAGCTGGAGGAACACTGCTCCCTACGGTTGGCAAAAATGAAAACGGAGTGTGCCAGGACTGGTTTTCATGGCAGGACTCACCAGCTAGCCTAGATAGCTAAGCAGCGGCTACTTTAGAGTAGCAGAGGAATGAGAACACATCTATTTCAGTTCTTGGCCCTCCAATATCCCAAATTAGGCTAACAGCAAGTCTTATTTTGCCCTGCTAACCTATGAAAGCCATTTGGGGTTAGGCATTCCTACCAAGCCACGTAGCTGCTCAAGTACTTTTAGGAGATAGAGCTGCCATTTCTTTGCATGTGGTCACTGGAAAG